AGGGGCTGAATCAGGGACGCTTGGGGCAGAGCCGGACTATCGGAAGGGGGGGCTATGAGGAGTCTGGGGTGGCACCCCCACCCCACCCAGACCCCTCATAGGTCCCCCTTCCGATAGTCCAGCATATCTGATAATCCGGCACCCCCTGGGTCCCAAAGGTGCCGGATTATCGGAAGTTTACTGTATATAGAAAATCAAAATGTTCAGCATTCATCTGCCTTAATAAATAGTAAAGATATGACTGCCATATCATTTAAAGCTATTTTCTGCTATTCTGTGCTACAGCCTCCATTGTGAATTTATCACAATTGATAAAATCCAGCATATCTGATAATCCGGCACCCCCTGGGTCCCAAAGGTGCCGGATTATCGGAAGTTTACTGTATATAGAAAATCAAAATGTTCAGCATTCATCTGCCTTAATAAATAGTAAAGATATGACTGCCATATCATTTAAAGCTATTTTCTGCTATTCTGTGCTACAGCCTCCATTGTGAATTTATCACAATTGATAAAATCCAGTATTTTATTTGTATCATGACTATTATCCTACATCAGTTATTGTTCAGTGGGTACGCATGACTTCTCAGCTACCTGTATCTAAAAATATGAGACCCAGCAATTTTCTATTTTGCCTAATTCTCTTAGTTCAAGTAAAATTGTAATTCTGAAGCATGTCAGTTGCTATGGTAGGCACTATCCCCTGGAACACCCTTTTATATCAAGGCTGATATTTCTCCCTATATGCCCCCTGGCTTGTTCTCTTTAATAGAGCATCTCTCAGGTAGGGTTGTCAGATGGTTTCTGAAAAATTCCGAACCGTCCGCCCCATCCCCCCAGCATGGCCCTTTTAAGAAACGCTTTTGAGGCTTTTGGGCCCTAACAGGCTGCCAGTGGCTGCCTGCCATCTTGCCTCCCAGCGCGGGTAGGGTTGCCAGATGGTCCTCCCAAAAAACACCAGACACGTGGTCTTTTGGTCAAGCAAAAAAAAAAAAAAAAAAAAGGAGCACAGGATAATAAGTACTGCCTCTCCCAGCCACTCCCCCCACCCCTTCTGACATACCCAGACTGGCAAATCGTGGTCCCGCCTCCCAGCTGGGCCTCCCAGCCACTCCCCCCGCCCCCGCTAGGCTTCTGATGTGCCAAGAGCGGTGATCGCGGCCCCGCCTCCCAGCCTGGGACTCCCAGCTGGGAGGCGGGGC